ATGTCCTGAGATGCTGTTTGGTGCTGAGCAACATGGAAGTTTATTGCAGCCAGCAGCCAGCTGAAGTTGCCAGGTACTAGCGCCAATTTCCATGTCAAAATTTCTCAATATCTGGCTTGTTTAGTGCATTTGGTAAGAGGAAAACCTGAATATCAACAAGGTCAGTCAAGCCATTAAAAAGGCTATAATCTCCCTTATTTGACAACTCACCACTGCCTAACAAAAAGTTTGCCTTGCCACTCAGTAAGTGTATAAAAGATGGAATGAGATACTCCCAATGTCAAGATATTCTCCAGATCACTGGACTTCTCATCCAATTCGGCTACAAATCCCACCATAGCCTACATCACTCAGATCCCTAGAAGATTCCATCTGAGGTAGTTAAATTTGCAGATCACATAATGATAAGTAGCAAAGTATGTTGTGAAGATGACATAGTGAGGATGTCCACCAATATAGCCAGGTTAAGCGAGTAGGCAAAAATCTGGTAGATGGTGTATAACATACGAAAACGTGAAGTTGTTCATTTTGACAAGAAAAATATAAAAGCAGAGTATTATCTAAATGGTGATTAACTGCATAAATCCAAGGTGCAGAGGGCTCTCGGCATTCTAGTGTTTCAGTCACAAATAGTTACTATGCAGTTACAGCAAGTAATTAAGAAGGCTGATAGACAGTATCATTTAATATGGATGGAATTAAACACAAAATTAAGGATGTTATGCCTTATTTATACGGTCATTGTTGAGACCATATCTCAAATACCACATGCAGTTTTAGTCTCCTTAATTAAGGCAGATTGTAAATGTTATAGTGAAAGTTCAGAGGTGGCTTACTAGGTTGATATCTGCAATGAATAGGTTGTCTTAGGAAAGATTGGATAGGCTGGGCTTGTTGTCACTATTGGCTTAGAAAACTGAGGGGTGATTTGATTACTATTTACAAGATCTTGACAAGGTGCACGTTGAAAGAATGTTCTATGTTTGTGGGTCAGTCCAGATCTAGGGGGACACAGTTTTAAAATTAAGTGTTGCCCTTCCAGGACAGAGATGATGGGAAACACTTTCTCTCACAGGGCTGTCTGACTTTGCAACACCCTACCTAAATTGGCTGTGGAGATAAGAATCTATCTACCTCCACCTCAAAAATATTCCTGTTAGGCAAAGGAATCAAAGGTTATCAGAGATAGATGGGAATGTGGAATTCAGGACACAAACAGTCCATCCATGATCTTACTGAATAACAGAGCAGGCCTGAAGGGGCAAAGGGCCTACTTCTGCTCCTAATTCATACGTTTGTATAGAAGAGGCAGAAGGTTTCGAGAAGGAATTCCAGAGACTTTGTGAGGAGTTGATCTGACCTGTTTGCAGAAAACCACCCTGTCAAGAAATGCTGGCATAAGTAAATGAGAGTTGATTCAAATATGTGGTCAGCAATTGTTTTAGCAGTTTCAGGTTAGTTAGAAATCACCTAATAGCTTGATGTAGCAGCTACGCTTCAGATATCTCACTAAATCAGTGTTCAATATTGTGATGAGAAAGTAAACTAATAAGTTTGTATTCTCAGTTGATGCTGTTATCAGTGCAAGATAAATTTCTGATGCAATCCATTTCTAATTATTTCTCACTTGTGAGCAAATTTCAGAAATGTGGTTCCTGGCACGAAAAGGTTGGACACCCCTACGGTAAAAGCAATGTAGTTCTATATCTCTACATTGATGCTTGAGGGTTCTGCACCATCCATTGTTATTTTAAGTCTCATTTATCAGGGGGTTCCCTCTCTTCCACAGCCAGACTTTTGCCATGACAGTTCCCCTTTAGAACTGCAGCTACTGAAGGAATTCACGGGGAAAAAAAAAGAAAGAGTGTGAGCTAGCAGCAGTGGCTTTTAATAAATCAAAACACTGAATCTTAATTGGACATTATCTTCTTGAGACACTATCAGACTTGACAAGAAGAAAAAGCACACAATGGCACTAACATCACCAATCTCATCTGTTGCTGTAAACGTGCAAATGTTATAAACAGCAGTATTTCAAAGCCTTCAGAAAACCAGTACAATATCGACTATAGATCATGTTTGAATTGAGTGTCTCTTTGACTTGTCTTGGTTTGACTGTTCGAAGAATTTGGTTCACTAATCACACCCCCAATGCTTCATAGAAAAGAAATCTCATCATACAAGATCCTGCTTGAACATCAAATAATTAAACTTTCCAATAACTGTTGCTGAAATAAATTCTCATCTCCCATTTCCCATGGTTTCACTGCAACATATGCTAATAGTGGCTAAGCAGGAAAACCACATCCTTTTCAGTAACAGTGAGCCCAAATCATATATTAGTGTACCATAGCAATCAAAGATGGCCCAATATGTTGCATAAAATAGGCCATTCAACTCAAGTGTTTATGCTCCAACAAGCCATAGCTTCATTTTCAAAAAAATGGTTTAGAGCTCTTGTCGGAGGATATGACTTGTCTTCATGGCACATAGGACATAAATCTACATCAGGAGAGACAATAATTAGGTCTAGATATTTCAACATTTTTGACCATTTAAATTCTGTTGTTTTAGCTCTTTCACATTGTTGAAGTCAGTAACTGTTCCATGCCATTTTACCTTTCTCATGGAATAACAAGTGTTAATTATATTTAAAATCTAAATTTAAAAACGTTAAATAAACTTAAAGATATTATGGCTAACAAAATGGCAGAGCAACTTTGATTAGGCAAATGAACCACCTCTCCTCTATCATGAAGAGAAGCACTTTTTTAATGCAGTGATTTTTAAAAATTGAGGTGGATGGACTAATGAGAAGACTCCTTCTCTAATATTGATTTTTTTTTTCCTGTCAAGTTACAATTCATGTTAGAAGGAATGTAGAGCAATTTAAATTATTGACCTAAAGATGAGGCTCGAATGATTTTTCATTTAGCTTCTTTCTTTACCATCCCGAAATACAAAGGAATTATGCATTTGTACCATGTAGTGTGTGAACAAAGCATATTATTAAAAGCACCACATCCATTTCTGTCTGAAGAATCTGGTAAACTTTGTTCAATTGAAAGCCTGTGTTTTCCTGCTTTATCTGCATAAACAATTGAACTTAACATAAACAATCTAAATTAGGCAATTTAAGTAATTAAATAACAATTAAAATAATTAAAACTGGCAATCACCACATTAAAGAGTCCTGCAATATTACTCAGTTTCAGTTTCCATCCGGAGTTTTGTTAACATTTGCTCTTCAAACTCTCAATTTCTATTTTCATGCAAGGGAAACATCTAATGGGTAGAAATCATAAATATACAACACCATATTGTGTTCCTTGGGTCCCCAGCAGGTCCCTAACATGTACTAAACAATAAATGTTCCCTGTAATAAATATTGTTGCGTTTTGAGGAACACATATGAATGTCTTACTTTGCAACAACAGCTAGGAGTGGGATCTGAAAAGAATTACTTCCATCCAGTGTCTGAGGAATAAGCAAGAAACTGTCAAAACACTGCTTATTCCTGATTCAGGCCCCATTTTTTTAAAACAGCACCTCATTTGTATTTCAGTTGTGCTCCTTGTACCTACCGTTGAAATAAATTGATAGATTCTATTTTACATGGGCTGCGTGTTAGGCCATCCTGGGATCTTATTAAAAACTGCACAGGTTTGACTGACGACTCACATTTCTTCATCCCCATTCTTGCTAGGCGAGTGTCTGAGGAATAACTTTATGGAATTATTCAGAAACAAAAAAATCAATGTGCAGGCTTGTCACACACAGGTCAATCCTCCATCAAGCAGGAGTCTCTTACCAAACTGTCAATATTTTTTAAATCCGCTGCATAAATCATCTCAGTAACAAAATATGTGCACTCTTCTGCTAGCTCTTACATTTGGATTTAATATTTCATTTCATCTATATTTGTACAGACTAAAAAGAAACAAATTTCATTGATTTATCTTCAATGTTACATCAGAATTATTTCCAAAACTAAATTGGTCCTTATTTCAAATCCCTTTATTTCACACCTGTCTGCCTACCTCTCCAGATCCTTTTTTAAATTATCCTTGGTCAAAGTGAAATATCCTAACCAGCTTTTCCCTCTACAGAAAAGTTTTTGTGCTTCTGTAAGATGATCCACTAGGAGGTACTTATGAGTTGAAGCCAGTTGTTAGGAAGAGACCGGGGCCTGTCCACCCTTCCATGCAGGCTGAATTATTCGAGTTCTCTAAGGCTACTTGCTAAGAAAGAAAAGCCTTTTCTGCAACGACAGGGTTTTTGCAACACAAATTAGGCATATGCAGCTGGGTGAAAATTTGACTGGTGTGGTGCATAAGACAGGCTCCTGGTCTCCTCCAACCCACTGCTTTCAGCTCATAAGCACCTCCTAGTGGAGCATCTAACAGAAGCACAAATATTTTCTGTAGAGGGAAAAGCTGGTTAGGATATTTCACTTCAACCAAGTATAATTAAACAAAAGGATCTGGAGAAATGTAGGGAGGGGTAGGCAGACAAATGGAAAATTCTCTCTTGAAAGCCAAAATTGAATCCACCTCCATCACTCTCCCAGAGCATTCCAAATCCTCATGTCATCATTGCTTCACTCAAGTCATTTTAAATCGGAGTCCCCTAAATCTCAATCCTTACATCAATGGGAATAGTTTCACCCTAACTTCTCTGTTCAGTTCTGTCATTAATTTGACTATTTCTATGAAATCTCCTCTCAAGCTTCTCTTCTCTAAGGGGAACAGCTCCAGTTTTTCTTATCTTATCAGTCCCTCCTCTCTGGAACTATTTACATAAATCATTACTGGGTCCTCTCTAAAGCCTTCACATCCTTCTTAAAAAAAAGGAGTACACAGAATTGGACACAACACCCCAAGTGAGGCTTAAATCAAGGTATTCCAAAGGTTTACCATAAATTCCTTGTTATTGTACTCTCTGCCCCTCCTCTAGTCTTTCCAATACACAGATGTTGCAGAGTTCCTGGGAAGGACATAGTGAAACTAGGTTACTTCAAGAAGAGCTAGTGTTAGTCCTATTCCAGAAGCGTTGGGATAAAACCCTAAAGAAATTATTTAAAGATGAATATGTTTAAGCTCAGGTGTATGATAGCTTTTTCCTGGAGCTATCTGCAGTTTCAGTCTATAAGTTAAAATTACAAGTGACTTAAACCTTACCAAGGTGTTAGAGACAGGGACTCTAATGTGAGTACTATATAAGCGGTGTTTTGAATGCAATATAAATGTTCTTGTTTTCCTTTTCAATGCACAAGGGAGCATTTTGGAATTAAATAGGATTATACTTTTATTGTGTTTAAAAATATTTGAATAAAACAAATCTGTGAATGCTGAAAATCTGAAATATAAACAAAGTATTGGAGAAACTCAGTAGGTCTGGCAGCATCTGTAGAGACACAATGTGTGTTAAGTAGATAGCTCGGTATACTCTATTTTCTCACTATATCTTTTGTTAATGAACTTCTGTTTTATTGTTAAAGCAAAATGTGCAGCATTGCATTCTTACATTTCAGTGAAAAACTACTTAATTAAAACCAAAAATATGATCTATTAAAGACAGGTAGCTGGCATCATAAGAACAGCAAGACGGCTAGGTAAAGCAATGTTACAGAAAATCAGCCTAATAAACAAAAATAGATTTCTCCTTTGAAAATGGTGATGCCTTTTCAGCATTCAAAGGGTTATGAGGGGAACTGTGCAATGGTTGCGTAGGTTTCTACAGCCCCCTAATGGAAAGCTCTACCAGGTACAACCTTCACAACTTTTAGGTTCAAGAGAAAAATCAGCAGACTTAGAGGACAAAGTGGTCAAGCAGCTGCTCGGCCTGCTGTGTTCATCCAGCTCTGCACCTTGTTGTCTCGGATTCTCCAGCATCTGCGGTTCTTACTATCTGATTCTAGAGGACAAAGTGTCCAGGTGTCAAAAAAAAAAAAAAAAAAAAAACACAACTTCAGAACAAAGGTAAATTAAACTAGATATACAGAGAATAGAGAAGAAAACAAATGCAGGGATTGTGACACAGCAATGACAATAGGAGATCAAATCACTAGTGGTACCACAAATATTTTTTTTCAGAGAACTTAAAAACAGAAACAGGCTGTTTGGCTCAACTGCTCGTGTTTATACTCCAGATGAGCTTCCTCCCATCCCACTCGTTTAACCTCATTAACATATCTTTCTATTTGTATCTCCCTTGTGGAAATAAGTTTTCCAACAGGCTTAGTTGGAGGTAGCCAAGAATTTAATCACATGACCTCTAGATGACCAAGCCCATACTCAGTCATTGGTTGATGATGCATGAAGTCTTCCCATGCTATCTGAAAAATGAACAGACTCCTCATCACCAGGTTAGATGATTCTTGACTATCAGTAAAGAAGCATGTTTAACCATTTGCAATATTTTTATAATTATCCCCTTCGCCATCAAGACAGATTATCAAAAGGTGCTGGGAATATGGTTTGGAGGGGCTGGGGCACGCACAAAAAACTTGGGAGTTAATTGCCAAGGTGAGGCAGAAACTGGGCTTATGGGAGCACCGCTTCCTCTCCATTGTGGGTAAAAGCCTGGTCAGCAGGCACAAGGTACTGTCTGTGTTACTACACATGGCACAGGTCAGGCCCATTCCCAGAACCTGGGCTTTTGCAGTCACCCGAGCCATCTTCCACTTCATCTGGAGGTCAAAGATGGACCATGTCTGCAGGGATACCATGTATAAAGCTCTAGATAAGTGGGGGGCAGGGGCAGGAGCAGGAGCAGGAGCAGGGGGGTGAAACGTACTCAACACTGCCCTCATCCTGATGGCTATCTTTGTGTGTGGCTGCATCAAGCTGTGCAGACCCTCAGTACACGAACACCAAGTGACACTACATACTGAGGTTCTACCTGTCCGCAGTGTTACAGAGGATGGGTCTAGCCTTGGCACTACAAAACACTCCAAGCAGCTGGACCATTCTGTATCACCTGTTCTTTGTGGAGAAATTTGTAAAGAAAAGCACTTTTGACCACAAGTCCACCTGGCAGCGGTGAGCATATAGTGTCCTCGAGACCCTGCAAGAAAGGGAGAGCATGGATCCTGTCACATGGCTTCCTGAGCAGTCATTTGGCAGAATGCTCGATTGCCGGAACTTTCCAAGCAGCACCAAGACACAGCTTGGCTAGTGGTGGGCAGGACACTACCCATCAGATTCTGTATGTACACCCAGACTCTGTGCCACCACATGCTGCTCTCAAAATGGCTACACTGGTAAAAGAGACTGTCATACATCCTTAAGGTTCCTTTGCAAAAAAAGGTCTGGAAAGAGATGACGTGGTTTTTGTCAAAGGTCATCCCAAGCAGCTCTGTGACGCAGGACTATGTGCTCTACGGTCTGTTCCCTGGGATGCACACCAAGACAAACATCGACTGCACCTGGAATACCATCAACTCAATGAAAGATGCTCTTTGGTCTGCCCAAAACTTGTTGGTCTTCCAGCACAAGGAGTTGATCTTGACCAAATGTTGCTGACTGGCACATTCCAAGGTACAGGACTATGTGCTGAGGGATACTCGAAAGCTTGGGGCAGTTGCTGCCAAAGCGCAGTGGGGAAGAGAACACAGTCTAAGGTCTTTCTGCAAAAGTAGAATGGAGATCCATTCAGTTATCAGACTTTCTCAGTACCTCAAACACATGCAAATATAGTCTTGTATAAGAAGAAGTGCCTTTTTTTTTTTTTTAAAAAAAACACAACTGCAGGGAATGCCAAATTTCCAATGTGTGTGTTATTCATGGCAAAGACTGTACAGAATTGCTTCAGTAACTGTGTATACATAAAGATTTTATGAATAAAGTATATTTGTCTACTAAAAAGTGTTATAAAATAAAATAAACCAAACCCACTTTTTCAATGTCTCTTTGATTCTTCTCATAGGTTGACAGTGTCTAGGAATCAATCTTTAATTCCTGAAGACTCCAGGGCAATCCTAGAGGGTTGGCAACCTATAATTTTGAGAACATGAAAAATTAGTGTCAAATAGAATGATCAACACATCCATAAATCTGAGGAACTGCAGAATCTTAAAACATTCTATTTCAATTTTGTGATTGGATATCCTGTGTTTATTCATTCACTTTCACTTTGTTGTTAAGACCAAAAAAAAATTCATTTTGTATACATGTCTTGTTCATTAAAAAAGACTTACACATAAATTGATGAAAAGAAAGTTACAAAATTACTGACATTTATATTAAACTGTTCCCAGCAAGCTTGGAATAGTGTCATGGAGTCGACGCTGAGTACATAATCTCATCCATATATTAACTCCTATGAAAAGTTCCGATGGAAAATGGCACAAAGGAGCTCAGGGACAATTGTAACCTTTTCCCTGAATGCATCCAGTAGTAATATGATACAAGGGCTGATCCTCATTACTCACGAGGCTCTTTACTTTCACCAAAATTCGCAGTTGCAAATGTACGCTTCAAATCCGGAGTTTTATTCCGATGTCACAACTCTAGACCCATCAGCTCATGTAAGGCAACACAAATTTAGCAATACCATACAAATACGTGGAATTGGGGCACAGACGCTAGTCATCTGGATTGCCAGTAAGGGTAGCAGATATTATCTCCCCTTATCAGTCTTATGAACCATACACTACTATTACACTCTAAGTGTGAAACTTTGGTTAAAAGACCTGAACCGGTAAAACAACCACCCTGCCACAAACTCCGCCATTCTGGTATCGACAAGGATGACTTTATTGAGTATTCAAATTAAAGGGGCGCACACAACAATCTAGGCTGTAATGAAAGCATAAAGAAAACGTGGAAAATTAAATAATATAATCATTCCCTTGTGTGCGCAATGCACGTCAGCCTCTCTAATACCTCCGCCTGCCATGGAAAGTCTCATACACAACCAACTTCGCTCGCGCTCCGCCACCGGCTCGAACTCGCAGGAAGTCTCGCGAGAATTGGACACGATCTTGCGGGTTGCCCCGGTGATGTTTTTGCTCCGCGGCGGTTGATTGGACGATTCGGCGGAGAAACGGACCAATCGAATACTCACTATTTTTTCTTTAGGAACCGAACGGGAAAATTCAACTTTGGAAGAAGCGAGTTTCCTGGATCTGTGGTTCCGCTGGCCGAGGCGTAGCTAAAAGCTACGGTCAGAAAACTTAAAAACTTTGAGTAGAAGCTGTGCCGAGAGCAGACAACGGAGGCCTTGATTGTTTACAAAAAAAAACTTCGCCGATGATGGCTGCCGCTACCGTGACGGGAGCGTCGGAATCGACTGCTCCTCGGTGAGTATATCTAGTAGGGCCGATCGGGATGCGAGTGGCCTGTCTCTATCTTGACACAGTTCCGGACTAGACATGATTAGAACAGCATCCCACCCTTTAGGTTAACCGTATTCACTTGTATCACTAATCGCGGTATATGGAAAATAACCGAAACTAAGAAGACCCAGCAGTTCATAAGGTGACTATTTAAACAGTAAGCACATCGTACCTCCCCTCTGCAAAGTCTAATATTCTTGTTTCATTATCATTTGACTTCGGACACAAATACATCGTGGTTTGTGCACGTTAATGTACAATATGTGCTTGGGCTTAAGTACCCATGGATGTGCTGATTAGTGTAATTGTGGCAGTCTCGATCAGGGTGCTGCCTCATGTGCCTTTTAGAGTCGATTTGAGAGCAGCATAGACAGAAACTTAGCTTCAGGCCCACTCTTGCAGGAGTTTTCTGAGAGAGAGCGAGAGATGAAGAGAATGCAAATCCTGTAAAATGTGCAATAAAAATCAAAAATGTCCTAGAAATACTCACATATCGGGCAACATCTGTCATGAGAAAGAGTTAATATTTTAGATTGAAGAAACGTTGCCCCTGTTTCTCTCCACAGATGTTGCCTGACCTACTTCGAGCATTTCCTTTTTTTCCAAATTTCCAGCATCTGTAGTACTGCTTTTGTAAGATGGGAAATTTGTAGGTTATGTCTACACAAAAAAGACTGGAAATATGTAGGTCAGTTAGCATTTGTGGAGAGAACAGTTGATATTTTGGGGTTGTATCTTTCTTCAAAACTCAGAAATCTGAGATGTGCACACTTAATCAGATCAAGAAAAGAGGGGAAGTATTGTGGAATGATGGCTAGATGATGTAATGAATCACATCAGTCAACTACCTGGTGAGATGGGATGAATAACAAATCATTAATTCAACTGTTTTCATCATAGCAAATTAACACGCAAAACACTAGTTATTTAGCTATGTTAAGAGTACAGTCTTTGTGTCATCATACAAAGTAATGGAAATGTTATGCTTTCCCATGTCAATTGCTCATCTAACTCTTTACTGCACTCCTGAGTTCCAAACCTCAAACCATAGCAATGACTTACTGTCAGCATTCTGCTCAGAGATGATTGCTCTGTTGCACTTTGCCAGTATCTCTTCTGTTTAATTTCTAACCTGAGATTAGAAAAGGGTACTGTAAGCAAGAAAGTAGACAAATGGAGGTTGCAGACTAAGTGGCAACATCTTGGGATTAAGCACATCATTTACCGGAAAAAGACCGTGGTCTGAGAGGGGATTTAGGTATTTGGTACAAATGTGGCTTGGTGTTTTGATTTGGTAACTGCATGTTCATTCTGTGGTCTAGGCCAATCTATGAAGTTAATGCTTGAAAGACTAGACCCCCATGTTGATTTTGCAGGCAATACCCCTGCAATTGTTAAGTACCACCTTTGATTACACATTCATGAATGCTGGAGGTACCTATATGCTTGATGATCAGTTTCAGTACATTGTTACCTGATAGAAAAGTAATTTGCCAACATTTTGTTTTGATATAGTGTAACGCACTACAGAACTTGTTGAATAATGGTCTGATCTTTTGGCAGAAATGAGTGTCTCACTCAAAAGGCTCGACCTGTGAAGCCAACTGTGGCCAACAAAGAAAACTGTCCAAGACCAGTGAGGCCAGAGAAAGGAGCTGCTATGAGTGGCAGTAGGCTACCTATACCAGTGAAAAAGTTAAAGGTGAAATCTGTTCCAGACTTCAAAAAGTTACATCAACAGTGGGATAAAAAATTTCTGAAGGTAAGGGTAGTATCCAGTACACATGACATTGCTATGCATTCAAGAACCTGCTGATCTTTAATGTGATATTGGGGAAGTTTTCTAATTTGGAATATCAGGAAATGGGATATGTTTCTGTACAGGCTGGGATTCTTGTCTCAAAAAGAGACTAAGGGTGGGTGACCTGATAAAGGTCTTCAAGGAAATTTAGTGTTTGGTAGGGTAGGTGTAGAAAAGGTGTTTCCACTTGTGGAGCCGAACCGAACTAGGAAGCCATAAGTATAACACATAGTGAAATTCTGTTTATAATGTGATCATAAAACATTACATGTTGTAAATGAGCCACAGATAGACAATTCCATGCAGGAACAAAACATGTCTGAGAAGTGACCAGAGGGCGGAGGGCAGTGGGACCAGGGCCAAGGGGAGAGCAGGGGAATGTGGTCAGGCTGGGCTGAACAGCCTGTTTCTGTAATGTCTCTTATCGAAGATGGCTATTGCCTTATGTTTGGATGACGCAAATGTTACTTGTACTGTGTGGGAATCAAGGTACATATATCACCCAATCTAATTTTGGTGTAGATCCCCACAGTAAATTGAGAAAACTATCCCAAAGGAGCATGAAAAGCATGATTGTAACCAGGGTTTGAGTAGATTTGTAGCTCAGGTTGTGGATGTCGTGGTTGGTTGGCTCGCCGAGCTGGTTTGTCGTTCTGCAGACGTTTCATTACCCTGCTGGGTAACATCATCAGTGCAGCCTCTGATGAAGCTCTGTTGTGTCTTCCTGCCTGGTATTTAATGATTGTAACTATTCAACAAGCTCATCTTTGACGGAGTCTGTTCTGTAATTGATCCTTGTGACCAAACTGGCAAAGTTTATTTCACATCTTGTTTGAAAAAATATATTCTGTATGTGCTGTTTCTGCACATGATTTTTATTTTGTGCTCACAGTGTGGGCTGTTGGTGGTGGGACTGATCATT